GTGGGCTATGACCCTCTTCTACATCTGAAGAAGTGGGTCATAGCCCACGAAAGATTATGCTCTAATAAATTTGTTAGTCTTTAAGGCGCCACAAGACTACTCGTTGTTTGTGCTGAAACAGACTAACACGGCTACTCCTCTGAAACTTGTCCCAGAATTCCAGCACTTAGCAGAATCTAATGTTGACTTTTTAGCTAATCCTTGGACTGCAGCACGTAAAACAAACTAATCCACATGAGACTTAAACAAGCTGTCTACAAGTTTATCCTATGGCTGAGAATGAAACTGCACAGAGGAAAAATACAGTAATCCCAGCCTTGTGGATCTGCAAGAGAAAATGCATTGGCAGAATATCAGTAAGTGCTGGGCTGATCGCTAGGGCCCCGATTCAGGAAAGCATTTTAGCACATGCTTATAGACCTAACTTTAAATATGTGCTTAAGTGCTTCCCTGAATCGATATTTGGAGAAATGGGGTATTTTCTATCAGGCAGGCAGGCTCCTCCTTCTCTGGTTTCATTAGTCCAACACCCTAAAACAAAGCTTAGCAAGGTTAATTTAGGCACCACCAGATCTCTGTTTTCCAACCTATCGCTACCATTGCCATTAGGGAAGAAGAGGAATGTAAAAAGGGGTTGTGATATTTGGGGTGCATTATTTTTACAATAAACATGCTGAGTCAGATCCTCAGCTCGTGTAAATCAGCGTAACTTCACTGAAATCAAGGGATCTGTTCTGATTTACACAGGTTGAAGATCTGGCCCATAGAGCTCAACATGTTCATATTGCATGCAAATAAATTTTACTGCAACAGTAGGATTCAGAAATTGAGGCACAAAGAAGCCAAGAAATTAGGTATTAAGGCCAGATTAGGATATCTAAAGTGTACAGAACTTTGCCAAATGACTGCTAATGGGGGAACATGATAACTACAAGTATTTGAAAGATGTAAACAATAAGGAAAGAGGAATTGTTTGGGTTTTTTCACCCCAAAGGACATAACTATGAGTATTAGGATGATCTATATAGCACTGCTGGTGTGGATGGCCGTTTTAGAAAGTGAAAAGACAAAGTCTCTGCCATAAAGTTTTACAATCTAACTTAGACAGATTACTCAATAAGAAATGAAAACAGATTATGGAGGGAGGAGTCAACTGAAAACCAGGGGAAAAATATAAAAATTTGCATAGTAACCCCGTGTTTTCAGTTGCTGATCGTTTTCCAAAACTTTCACCTTTCAGGCTCAAGTTTTCCAGAACTGCTCTCTGTCTCAAGGTGAAATTTCTGGAATGCCTGGGCACAGCTGGTTCCGCTTTGGAGTGTGAGAATGAAAATATAAATGACACTGTCACCATTATAAAATCTGTTCTAGATCTTTATTTTAAACCACTTTAGTGCTCACCGGGCTGTGATTGTGAAGATGGAATTGGCACCTTAATATTCCCCTTATATTAGAAATAGCATGTGTGGAGCAGTTGTTGTGATTACATCAGGGGGCAGATACAGACACTAAAGCTCATTCTTCATTTTGGAAGGTGGGCATTGGACTGCAGAGGTCAGAGCAGACAGTGGCAGGCTGCAGATTCCACCATGCCCTTGCTGCTGTGTTAAGCAATGTTTCTTTAAATCAAAGGAATCTATGCCTTAATAAGAACAGCACTCTGTGCTCATATCATTATAGACTCTTATGAGGGGTAGAGTTTAGATGCACTCTTGCTATTTCTTGATGTTTCAGTGCTTATTATTATTAATCACGGTTATTACAGTAGTGCCTAAGGACTAACCAAGACCAGGGCCCCATTGTGCTAGGCACTGTACAAACAGAATACTAGATAGTCCCTGTCCCAAAGAGCTGACAATTGAAATACACCAGACAGACACAGGAAAGGTGTAGCTCACACAAGCAGAGTGGACAATGTGATGGCAGCAAACGGCATGTTAGTGGCCTGTTTTTTTTTTACCCATATTAAAGGTAAACCGATTTAAAAAAAAAAAGACATTTAAGATGCCAAATGCTCCCGAAGATTACATTTTAAAACAAAAAAGATACAATATAGGAACTCCGTTTCTTTACATCCTGACTGTAACTGAGCAGATCTTTCATTACTCTGAAATCTCTGCTATCAGTGTAAACACCCAGTATTACCATCACCCTAATCACAGATTCAATAGCTATGCCATAAAGTGGTAATGCACTGATCTCCTGGTAGGGACAGCTGTAGACTGTTCCCTTTATTTCAATCCCTAGTCAGTTTCACTGCAGGTCACTCCTGGGGCCACCATCTGGTCTGGCTCACACACTTGGCAACTATATAAGAGAAGCCAGTAGGGCAGCGTAACCCCACAGCGGCCACTAGACAAACAGGCAGGCCACAGCCAGGCAGTAGGCACAGCTGCTGGGGGCAGCGGGGCAACGTGCCTCATACGTTTCACCCTGCTGGGTTTGTGCCCCTCACGGCAGCTGTGGGGCTAATACAGCCCTATGGCAGAGCTGAGGGTCGTTGGGGCCTGGCTCTCAGAGGTGCTGAGTGCTCGCAGCTCCAGGTGCACAGTCCGTGTGACCAAGTGCAGGGCACCATGGCGACAGGCAAGGCCTGGCATGCAAGAGGCCTGGGTGCTGCACCTATGGGTGTCAGGGTGAGAGGGGATCCCCACCTAGCTCCCCTGCATTGCCCTGACCTCTATGCCACTGGCCAGGCCCTCTGCCCAAGCATGTCCCCCTCTGCCCTCCAGGACCCAGGCACTACCATGCCACCTAGGCCGGGAAGGGTTCAGGGATCGACTGGTGATGTCTGGCAACCCCACACAGGCTCTGCAATGGACCTCTCAGAGCTGCCCACCCGACCATCGAGCGCTCTGGGGGCGATTAGCAAAGGCGCCCCCTCCTCCGCGAGGTTGTTCAGAGGGCGGAACCTCGCCTCTGGGATCTATTGCTCAGGCCGGTCGCCATGACTAGAGGCACGTTCACCAACAGCACACGTGACTCGGGTTTGGGCACGTGCGAACCGAGAACCTCGGGCCCCCTCGGGGGAGGGGGGAGCGCGCGCGAGGAGCGAGCCAGAGAAGAGCCCGTGTAGCCCCCTCCCCAGGGTCGGGGGGCGGATTGGGGGCAGCCCCCCGGGGAGCGGAGGAATCTTGGGGGGCGGGCGGGACGCAGCGCCCCGGGGAGCGGAGGGGGCGGGGGCTCACCTTGTGCGTCCCCCCCGCTGGTGAGCACCGCCAGGGCCATACCGGCCCCCGACATCCGCAGCTTCTCCAGGTCTAGCGCCGCCGCCATCCCGCCAACTCAGCGCCTCCCCGCCGCCAGCACAGCACGGGCAGTAGCCAGCCGAGCGCCGCCTCCCCGCGACCTTCAGCTTCGCTCCGCCCTGCCCGGGCCCCCGCCCCGCTGCTGCTGCGTCCGGGACTGCCAGCCCCGCGTATGGAGACACCCCAGCTCCCGCCCCCATATAGAGACAGCCCCGACCCCCCCCTTCTCCGGCCACTGACACCCCCTGCAGTGACACCCCCTCCCCAGGAACCCCCACCTGCCACTGACACCCCGCCCCCATATAGAGACAGCTCCACCCCCCCTCCAGGCACTGACACCCCCCTGCAGTGACAACCCCTCCCCAGCAACCCCCACCTGCCACTGACACCCATATAGAGACAGCCCCGACCCCCTGCCTCCCACTTACACCCAGGGCCGGCTTTAGGCCAATTCAACCAATTCCCCTGAATTGGGCCCCGCGCCTAAGCCCCGGTACGGCGAACCGGCATGGCTCGGCTTCCCCAGGGGGCCCTTTAAATTGCCACCAGAGCCCCACTGCTGGAGCCCTGGGGTAGGGCTGCGAGGCTCTGGGGGCCATTTAAAAAGTCCGGGGCTCCTGCTGCCTCTACCGCCCCGGCCCCTTAAATAGCCGCTGGAGCCCCACCGCTTCCCCAGGGCTCCCTCGACTATTTAAAGGGCTGGGGTGGTAGAAGCAGGGGAGCCCCGGGCCCTTTAAATAGCCCCCAGAGCCCTGGGATAGCGGGGGCTCTAGCTGCCTCTGCTACACCCCCTGCCCTGCCTGCAGCCAGGCCCTGTCTCCAGCCAGCCCCTGCTGCACCCCCTGCCCGCAGCCAGCCCCTGCTGCACCCTCTGCTCTGCCTCCAGCCCCGCACCCCCTGCCTGCACCAGCCCTGCACCCCCTGCCCTGTCCTGCCTGCACAAGCCCCGCCCGCCCTGCCTACAGCCAACCCTTGCCGCACCCTCTGCCCTGTCTCCAGCCAACCCCTGCCGCACCCCCTGCGGCCCTCCCCGAAGCCAGCCAGCCCCGCACCCCCTGCCCAGTCTCCAGCCAACCCCTGCCACACACCCCTGCCTGAAGCCAGCCAGTCCCGCACTCCTCTGTCTCCAGCCCTGCCAACCCCTGCCACACACCCCTGCGACCCTGCCTGAAACCAGCCAGCCCGCCCCACACACCCCTGTCTCCAGCCAGCCCCGCACCCCTTGCCCTGCCTGCAGCCAGACCCTACCTCCAGTCAGCCCCTGCCCTGCCTCCAGCCAGCCCTATGTCCAGTGGTGCCCTGCAGTTCCCAGGGCAGTAACCCTGCACACCTGCTTCAATGAGGGGCCCTGGGACCCACACATGTGCACACACACCCCCAGGGAGTGGCGGGGACCCACACATGTGAAACGGAGCTCATTATTAACCGATCAACAGCATATATGACGCAATGTGCAAAATATATAAAATTATTATTTATATAGTTATGGAAAGTAAATAATACATGGAAGAAATGAAAGGCTTTTTTTTTATGTTTTTTGTTGTTGTTGTTGTTAGTCATCCCTGCTGGGGCCCCACCGAAAATGTTCGAATTGGGCCCCGCACTTCCTAAAGCCGGCCCTGCTTATACACCCGCCCCAGCAAACACCTCCTGCTAATGATACCCCGCCTCCATATAGAGGCAGTCCCGAACCCCCTGCCACCTCCCTGCAGTGACACCCCAGCCCTGGCAAACCTCTGCTTTCCAATGATACCCAGTCCCCCTGCAGATATACCCAGCAACCTCCTGCCCCCCACTGACACTCCCCTGCAGAGACACTATGGCCCCAGCAATCCCCACCTGCCAGTAACACCCAGCCCCTACCCTGTCCAGAGACACCCCTGCAGAGCCACCCTGGCCCCAGAAACCCCCAACCTCTTGTCCAGAGATGCCCCAACCCGCTGCTTCTCCCTGCCAGTTACACCCAGCCCCTTTGCAGAGACACCTCAACCCCAGCAACCCCTGCCTAGCAGTGACACCCAGTCCCAGACACTGTCCCCCTTACAGACCTGGCCCCATTCAGTACCACCCCCAACACTGCCACCATATCACCTGTGGGCGAGCAATTGAACAAAGCAATCACTATGTTTGACCCCTCAGTCTTCAGCCTCAAAGAAACCCCCAACACCTTCACAAGAGGAGCCAGCCCGCAGCCTGCTCTGAAACTGCACTACACCCTGCTGGCCTCGGCTAGTCTCTCCCCATGAGCATCTTCCCCCTTGGCATTTGTCCATGCCATTGGCTTCCTCAATCCCTCCTGTCTATTCCCCTGACTACTACTACTGTCCCACCTGCCGCCTCCTCCTCACCGTACATGCTGTCTGCTCTGCTCCTCTCCAGGGCCCCTGCAGTCCAGCTCCCCTGAAGCAGCCCCCACCAAGGGCAACAGTCACCCTCTCCCAGCCAGGTCTCAAGGCCTCTTCCACTCCATCCACGATCTTCATCCTGATCACACCCTTCATTCCCCAATAGCCTTACCCAGAGGAGCTTTTGATAGTTCTTGAGGTACCCTGGACTATGTCACATTGTTACCCTGTCCCTCTAGCAAGAGGTAGACTGGCCCGTTGGAGCTGGGTGTTAGCACCCAAAGATCACTAGCCTTTCCGCCACACAAGCACTCTCCTCTGGACTATTCCTTGCAGATTAACAATAGGTGAATCCATGTCCAATTGAATCATTCCCCTGGGATATCCAGCCCTTGACGCTGGCTACTTACAGAAATAGCACATCCTCTGCCCCAGAGGTGCAGTGAACTCCAGTTTACCAGTGTTATCTTAAATCACCATTCCTCACACAGCACTTGTGAATACTTATAATAAAACAAGTAGGGCTGTCAAGCAATTAAAAAAATTAATCATAATTAATCACACTGTTAAACAATAATAGAATACCATTTATTTAAATATTTTGGATGTTTTCTACATTTTCATATATATTGATTTCAATTATGTAACTCTTCTGCCCATCTGAGCTGGCAGCAACAAGGGCCGGGTTCAGTAGCTAGGGGTTACGTTTCAATAACACAATGCAAAACCGGCTCGAGCCCCCACCCAGTGACCTCGGACAATTACTTATCACCCCCCGGGTGCCTCTAAGAGGCAATACTTCCCCTCTCGCAAGCACGGAGTCTGAGTGTAGCAAAATCCTTTTAATAAAGGAGGGAAACAATGAGGCATTATATGGGGAAACACCACAAACAGGATTCGTAACACAAACCATGAGCAAAAGACCCACCCACCCCCAAGTAAGTTTGGCAGTATCCTTCCCCCCCCCCCCGGGACTTAAGTAGAGCAGCCCAAAAAATCACCCAAAGTCCCACACCCCAAAAGTCTCTTGAGTCTAGCAACCCAAAAAAATCACCCAAAGTCCCAACAGTCCAGCAACCCAAAAGTCTCTGTCCCTGGTCAGTGCAGCCCCAGATTTCAAAAGTTTATCTGCAGAGTTTTATCTCCCAGCCGGGGGGGGGGGGAGCACCTTACATGGTCCAAGGCCAACTGCCCCACTCTCCAGGGTTCTGCTGCAGCCTTCACCGTGAGCCAGTCCACCAGCCGTCCCACAAACAGTTCTGCTCCACCAGCTACTCAGCAATATATCTTCAGGCCCACTCAACAGCACTCAGTAATTTTAGCTTTTTAGTGATAGTAGCTTATAGTAGAGGAGCCTCAGTGCTAGTACACCATTAGCCCAAAGTGAATTCAGCTCAGCAGCCTGTAACTAGACTCCTAATAGAATTAAAATTAGCTCTGATATTCCACACTAGAGAAGAGAAGGAGGAGGCAGCAGCATAGCAACTGGTATTTCAGGCCCTCAAAGAGGGGGCCCATGCCATCAGATACAAATGCCTATCCCCATTTCCTCTCAATTCACTGGGTTTTGGAACCCATGTCCCTTGTCTAGTGAGTGCTACTTAGTTGATGGCGAGTCCCTCTGTCATAAAACAGTTTCATTGTCCTTGAGTCACATAATCAGGGTAACAACACTTTATTCTTCCTGCCCCAATAACAGAGAAACTGGGGATCCCACAGCAGCCAAAGTGACCATTTGGGCTCATGCTAGGCACGGTGGGTCTGCCTATGCAAACAAGATCAGCCCCTGAAGTTCTTTTCCACAAGTCTCCACAATTCACCACCAGATGTCAGGGTAGAGCTCATCCTGACTCTGCTTACAATTACAACACAATACAAAGTGTACAGTGCTCACTCTATATTATTTTTATTACAAATATTTGCACTGTAAAAAAGATAAACAAAAGAAATAATATTTTTCAATTCACCTCATACAAGTACCATAGTGCAATCTCTTTATCGTGAAAGTTGAACTTACAAATGTAGAATTATGTACAAAAAATGACTGCATTCAAAAACAAAATAATGTAAAACTTTAGAGGCTATAAGTTCACTCAGTCCTACTTCTTGTTCAGCGAGTCTCTGAGACAAACAAGCTTGTTTGCAGGAGATAATGCTACCTGCTTCTTGTTTGCAATGTCACCTGAAAGTGAGAACAGTCATGGCACTGTTGTAGCCGGCATTGCAAGATATTTATGTGACAGATGCACTAAAGATTCATATGTCCCTTCATGCTTCAACCACCATTCCAGAAGACATGTGTCCATGCTAATGACGCGTTCTGCTTGATAACGATCCAAAGCACTGCGGATCAACGCATGTTCATTTTCATCATCTGAGTCAGATGTCACCAGCAGAAGGTTCATTTTCTTTTTTGGTGATTCGGGTTCTGTAGTTTCCGCATCAGAGTGTTGTTCTTTAAAGACTTCTGAAAGCATTCTCCATACCTTGTCCCTCTCAGGTTTTGGAAGGCACTTCAGATTCCTAAACCTTGGGTCTAGTGATGTAGCTATATTTAGAAATCTCACATTGATACCTTCTTTGTGTTTTGTCAAATCTACAGTGAAAGTGTTCTTAAAATGAACAACATGTGCTGGATCATCATCCAAGACTGCTATAACATGAAATACATGGCAGAATGTGGGTAAAACAGAGCAGGAGACATACAGTTCTCCCCCAAGGAGTTCAGTCATAAATTTAATTAATGCTTTTATTTTTTAATAAGCGTCATCAGCA